CCCCCTACCCCCCACCCCCCGGCCTGTTCGAGCTGCCGCGTACCGGAGCCTCGGCGACAGGAGAGCGGCTCCGTGGCTACCACGCGGTGGCGCCGGGGCTCGCTCCGAGGGAGCGGGCAGCAAGGCTTGTCCGTCCGTCTGTCCCCAGGAGATGACCCACCGTGTGCATTCTACGAGCTGAATGAAAACTGCTTTAAACGGCCTTAAGAACGACCTGAAGCAGCAATGTATAAAATTATGACTAACTCCCATAACCAAGCGGGAAAGTAAATCAACTATTCAAGGGCTGCATGGCACCTGTCTTGGAGATGTTCAAAGTCCATAATGCAGATTCTGGGCTGGTTCTGAAACCACCAGCAGTAAAAACCGGTTGCTTTGAGGTTTCAAAGTCCATGGGAATAAACACAGTGTGTTTCAGACATCAGGCTAATTCAAAGCATTTTTAAAAGCAACTGCAAGGAAAAAGGAACAGTCCAGTGCCCTTTTGAGATGGCTGAGGCAAAACTGGATAAACTCACAGCCAGACACAACACAGAACCCATCCCCTGCCTTTCTCTGAGGGGGTGAGGAAAGAACAGGCTCGCAGGGAGCCACAGCACCCCCTCTCCTGGGCAGGGGTCCCCATTTCAGCAGCAGCGTGCTGCTCCTCTTCCCCGAGGACAAACACCACGGTGGAAGAGGAAAGAAGCTGCTGCAAAGGGGGTCAAAGGCGGCATGAACACCACAGGATCCTCTCGGACAAGGCTCCTCCAGGAACCCCTTTATAAAATGAGGTGGAAGAGAGCAGTGGTCGCTGGCCACTCTTGCACTGACCGCTACGATAAACAAGAAGCTTTCACAGCAAGGTTCATGATTAGGCAGGGGGGTGGGGGAGTGTTTTTACAAATTGCCTGAAAAATAAAGGCAGTCAGGAGCCAGGCTAAAAGCCTTTCAGCCCAATTGATCGTGCAATTATCAGTGTAGACAGTACGCTCCTCTTTGACAGTTCAGTACTTTTGTTTTTAAATGCACAATCCAAATAACATCTTATAAATTTAATGAAAAAAAAAAACTAAAAAAAACCCTCCTCCAAAAAAACAGTTGTGTTTGGAGGAAGGCTGATGAGGAAGATGTATACAGAAGTCCAAAAGATGACCAAACAGCGAAGGATTGGTTTGATTTATACAACCCTATGCAACGATACAAGTATCTTCTCATCAGAAGCACCAGCCTGCAGGTTTTCATCTGGGATACTCACCCCTAACCCTGCTGCTCCTCTTCCATCACCAATCCCAGGGCAGCGCGATGCAGCTGTTGGCAAGGTCAGAAAAAACAAACCAATCCTGGGTTGAAGCTATTGGAACATCCCTCTCCCTAATTTTTTTTTTTTTAGTCGATGTTTTGCAAACCACAACCAAAGCTCTGACATCTTCACAGCACTCTGATGAACAAGCCAACAGGGTAAGGATCCCATCTCGTGTAGCATAACCCAGTAAGAAGCTGTTTTCAACACAAAAATGTCATCTGGAAGCAACCACACTCTCCCCCCTGAAGCAGCACCAGCATCAACTGGGGCTATTCCTAGTCCAGTCCTGAAAAATTCCAGGACTAGAGACTTGACTGCAGCCTTGCCAGTTAACCTGTTCCAGTGCTACACTGCCCTACTACTCAAAATGCTGTTATGTCCAACCTGGTTTTATATCTTGGTTAACTATATATATTTAATATTTAGGTACTATTAATGATTAATGTTTTATACACTCAGAGCAATCAGTTTAATCTTCAACCAAAAGCAGCTCTGCTCACCGTAGAGTAATTAAGAGATCAGGAGTTGTAGTTCAACCCATCTGAAAGAATAAAGCTTTTAAGCCACAGCACAGGTTTTCAAAGGCTAAAACATGCAGTACTGCTTAATTTAAAACCAAAAGTGTTGCTTCAGCCTTTTTTTCCTGTGTATATGCCAAAGAACTCTGGTCCCTTGCTCAAGAGAGCAGCTCGCCTTTATTCTCATCCAGGAGGAGCCGAGCCAAATGAATTAGAGCACTGAAATAACTTTAAAAAAAACCCCACAGTAGGCTGACTCATGAACTGCTTACTCTGCAGGGCTTTTTTAGTGTATTCATGGGTACTAAAAGATTTCTCCACAGGCCAGTATCATTTTTACTGAACATTTTACCTGTTTCCAACCTTCTGGAACTTGCAGGGAACCAATACTCCACGTAGTGATCGCTGTAGCATACAGAAGGCACCCTATGAATTCCACAAGCTTTCAAAAACCACAACTTGCAAACATTTTGCTCCAAAATGTTAAGCTCATATAAACCATCCATTTAGTTGCAAAGACCACAGAATACTTAAGTTGTTTTTCTCATGTAAAACTTTGCTTTAACCTATGCAAAACCCACTATAACAAATCTTGAGTTCCCCAAGTGCTCAGCATACTGACAAAACAAGAGAAAATTAAAAAGAGTAAGTGATAAACAAGTGCATGACAGGTGCATAAGGAAGTGGTGAGAGGGGAGTCATAACTTCATTTAACTGAATTTGGAGCATTTAATTTGAAATTCAGAATTGTTATTTGATCACACTTGCCTCTTCCTACAGACCATTTTTCCCAAATGAACAAGTGCATTTATCCTTCAGCCCCCTCCTGCTCTGTAGGTCACAGCTCCTCCCACAGCAGGAACTGTGCTCGTTTGGGTTTTTTTAATAAGGAAATATATTACCGTCTTTTTATACTCTATTTTTACCAAGAAAATGAAGATAAAGGGGCAAGAGGGGAAAAAAGAGAGGGATGTGTTTATTGAACTATGAAAAAAAGCCCAAAATAAACACAGCCCTTGCGTTAACAGCTTGGGTTTGTATTGTACATGAGGAAACCCTTTTAAGTTTCAGGCTAATTTCTGAATTGCCAGAGCAAATAATTTGTCCCGGGCTCTTAACACACCATTATTTTATGAAAATAACTTTCAGCATTTAAAGTTACTACCACAAAATGGAAAAAAAAAAATCCCCTCACGCAGAACATGGAAGCATGGAGTGGCCGTTATCAGTAACTCTCGGAAATCTTTCCTCTGACATTTCCAGTTGGATTTTGAATACTAACCAGGCAGATGAAATGTCAAAGCTTTCATCAGCAATACATCCAGTCACCCCCTTTTTCCCAAGGCAGAATTTATTCGTTACCATCTGAACACGCAGGGAAGAACGAAGTAACTAGCTCTGTCTCCACTCGCCTGTGCGTCAAGTATCCTCCCAGGGCACAACCAGAAGGTCTAAGAGGTCCTTCTGCTGCCCACGCATCCAAAACGTGGATCCCCAACACGCAGGAGCATCAGCAGCTGGAAACAATCCCACCCGAGCACAAGCCGACACACACACGCAGGCGCTGGTTTACCTTGGAGAAGTGTCCATCCAGGGGGAAGGGTGGAGAGTGGAGGGGAAAAATCCTGGCTAATCTAGACACTTCAAATCTATTTTTTCCTTCCAAAACTGAAGTTACTTGATGTTTGCCTGTGTAGGAGAGTAATTTTGTCTCATTTTTGACTTGGATCAGAAGGATGGGTCTCCACAAAGTCTGACATACAAATTCAGATAAAAGGTCAAAGGACAGGGTTAAATAAAAGTCTCAAAGAAAATGCAAAATGGAATGTTCAAACCCCTTCCCCATCTGTCCAACAACAGGATTCTACTGCCTCTATCCAAATTCTGAGAAACCAGGAAAAAAGGAAAAGATTTTAGAGCAGTTTGTAGAAAAGTGTTGTTTCCTTCTCGACTGCCTTCTGACAATTTAAACCCCAATCTCAACCCTTCTCACTAAACACTGGTTTTAACTACCCTGCTTCAAAAAATACTGAACTACCACAATATGGGACTCCCAGCAACTCCCATTTCACCCTTCCTGAATTCACCAGTCGATATTCTGAAGGAGGAAACATCACCACTGATCTCCAAAACAGGCACAAATCCTAATCATGCTCATTTCATCATCACAGTCTGAAGTGAGGGAAGTTTTTGCTCAGGTGAACTAGTCAGCTACCAAGAAATCAATTATTGTTTAAAGTTTTCATTTTCCTCTTGAATCCTCCGAAGATGCTTTTAGCTGGTTAGTACTGCGGGTGGCCCGTCTCCATCAGAATAACAATTTTTTGTTCACAACGTGATATTCTCAATGAATCTTCAAACAGCCAGCCACAGCACAATTATGGGGCAAAGTGCAAACACTGGAGTGACTTTCAACATTTTCCACTGGCTTTACCAACAGCTGCTTGCATTTGTGTACAGAACCTGAACAAAGGAACCACTGCTCCTCCCCCAGAGCAAATGAGTCACGCCAATTAAAATAACAGGGAAAACAGAAAATAGGGCAAAGTCATTACTCTTGAAGGAATGGTGTCAATTAAGACACAAAGCTCTACCTACAACATTTACAGAGAATGGCAAGCAAAAGGAATTTGAAGTTAACCTACTCTCTATAGCAAAGGATTTTTTTAAATAGTGATCAAAGCAAAAGTTCCCGACATACTAAAAAAAGACGCTTCAGATGCACTTATTTTTAGCATTTTAACTTCTTCCTGCAAGAGATCAAACTGCAGAAGACCGAGTGCTCCCCAGAAACCACGTGGAACCCAATCTACAGGACAAGTCTGAATTTTTGCTGAAGAAAAAGGTAACCACTCAAGCCTTTCAGGAAAGGGATGAAGTAACACTTGGTGAAACGCAGCACCGTCCTTGCAAGTTAAGAGAACTGAGTGGTCCTCCTGCAGAAAAGCGAGAAAGCCCCATAAAGTGTGTCTAGGACTAGGCCTCCAGGTAAATTGGACATTGCAAAATTTCTGTACTTCCCCTTAGAAACAAGTGGTGTTAAAAAAAAAGCAATCCCCTGCATTGTTTCAGAATCTAGGTTGAGCCCGAGGAATTTAAAGTCTCTTAAACAACATGAATATTAGGAGTCCTCCGTTAAAACAACGGGCAGGTACATCTTTTTAAGATATCCCCAGAAAGTTTCAAGCACAAGCCTTAAGAAAGCATAAGATTTGAATTTGTTTTGAATGAAATTATTAAATCAGGATTCAAATTCTGAAACAAATTAGTAGAAAGGAAATTATTTTAACAGAAGTCAACATAAATCACATACCACTGGTTTTCAGAATGGAAGCTTGGGCAATACACGTAGCACTAAAGTTCAAATTATTTCCTTTAATATTAGAAAACTGATTTTATTCTTAGTTTGTCAGAAAATGAGTTTAAGTAGTAGCACCTACATTGTAAATGTTTCAAGCTTAAGGTTTACACTTTACACGCTCAATCAATTAAGTGATCCTATATTCTTCCATTTTTTAGTATTTCAGTAGAGCACCACGTCAGTAATAAGCGAGTTTTGTTCTCAGCTGCATGACAATGTATGACCAGGCACCTCCCTGGGACAGAATTCAAGAAGTCAGGAGTTTTCCAGCACACTCCAATCACCTCACAGTTTTAGTTACTTAAGGTGGAAATTTCTATGCAAGTTTATAAAACCCATCCAGCTACATGTTAGTTTATTAAACCACAGTTGACCTGAGATGCAATTATGATTTGACATTTTTCCATACTTAGTTCACAAGTTTATTATGAAAAACACTGCAGCTCTGTCCTGCAGTAACATTGTTTTACAGAAAAAAAACAGTTCTGTTCAAAGTAATTCACTATCCTTGGACAATTACAAGGGACAATATGGTAGGAAAAAAAAAAAAAAAAAAAAAATCAATACAATTAAATTAAACAGTATTCCCTGAAAATAAAACAAACAAACAGTTTCAGAACAAATATGAGGCCTTGGTACTTATTTTAAAAATGTTCTTTAAGCTTCAATGATTGTTTGCTGCTACCCTTATCTACAGTCATGCTGAATAAAGCTATAGCTAAATGGAAAGTTAAATGTATTCACGAGGTGTTAATGTCTACATCTTATTATTTGCAGTCTCTCAGAGAAAGCAAAAGTAACTACAAATAGCGCTATGCCAGAAACTGGTTTCTTGACCAACAATGTTGCTTCAGCATGCAATGAACTGGTTCATTCTAAAGTGGTCACAGTTGTTGACGACAAGAGGCTTTGTATTTGAATATGGCACGTCTTTTGGTCCATGTGAAAACAAGTTTGAATGTTAAATATTTTCTGACACTTTGGAGTTACTGTTGCTCTTCCCATTTTCTTTAGGTCAACATATGGTTCATGGCAATACTGTACAGGTCTAAAATCTCTTTACAGGAAGTAGTCTGGGGTGCGACGAGTAACATGCGGTTCACCTCTACGCGGTGCTGGATCGAACTGCAAACTGAAAAGCAAAGATATTAATGAAACCACAAGAGTTCTGTTTACATTCAGGTATGTTTTATATGTGAATTACAGTAGCCGTGGCCTTAACACATGTAAGTCTCTTCAAGTTCTTTCAACCAATTAAAGCCTCCTAGAACAAGTGTTCAACTTCTTCCACTCCTATTAGTATGGATTTATAACCCCCATATTTTAAACTCCTGTTATGATTACTATGAAGGACTGGAGAAAAATTAATCTGAACTTTATGACTCAAACTGGTCAAACATTAGTATGTATTTAAAAGTCTCCAATAACTGTCAAAGAGGGCAGTTTACACAATGCTTTTACCTCGTTTACTTGTAAAGTTGCTACTGAGGTCGTTAATTAGAAGCCTCATTAAAAAAGCCAACATCCTAACATCTGAAGAATTTCAAGATTCCAAGTGTCTTGCCCTACACTGACAGGAGGGCACTACCTCTGATGTGACAGAGTACTCCTACTCTCAAATCACAGACCTCCACAGTATTTCATTAAACTCCAGTTGCACAAAACAAAAACGAGGAATCTCACTTCAATCTGACAGACACGATGTCAACAACTGTTCCAGATATTTGTCTCCAAGACTTTAGATGCAACTAACTCAACAAATCCACATTCACTTCACCCCCCAAAAGCACACAGGGAAGAAACACACCTTAACACAAGGATTAAGTGGTACCTTGTTACAGTAACTGTTTTAAAATCATGAACAACATCATTCTCATTTCTAAACATACTTACAAGGAGTATTTTAGAGTATCATCAAGTTCCATAATTGCAGCCTGGTTGCCACAACGGTAACAATAGTTTGGAGCGCTGAAAATTGTTACTACATTCCGATCATGGCACCAGTTGTATCCCTGGAGAGGGAAGGAAAAAAAACAAACAAAAAAAAATTACAGCCATCTGACTACTAACTGAATTTTTAATGTGCAAAAACCCTAAGTGGCATTTGTAGTATCATTTCAAATAAGATTAAGGCTGTGTCTTTGTCTTCTTCAAAGAAAAAAGGGTAAAAATAAATTTTCGCCTTCATATGTTGCTTCTTACTAGTAAGCATGAGCTAAACATATATCTAAAAATAATTCATCACGCATTCTCCATTGCATTAGAGTTAAAAAAATTAAAACAGCAATCCTGAAGTACATTATCTATTCTGAATCTTCAGCTGTGATCACCAAGACCAGAATCCAGACATGCATTTAAAAATCTTAACTGCCAGGGATAACTAGAAACTAAGAACCAAAACACACATCCAAGGTTAAAAGGAAAAAACGCATCTTTTTTCAAGGCACACATATTTGTGTGCATTTTCATACCAAGGGACTCGGCATTTACATTTAAGAATCTTTTCATCTACACAGAAACACAATACTATCTCTGCTACTCAAGTCTGTTTTGGGATCTTATCGTAAATTTTCAGAAAAAAGGCCAAAATAAAGGTTACTCCACTGTCAAATTGAGAAACTCCTTTAGTAGCACATGAATACTGTCAAGGTGGAATTTCTGGAAGACTCTCAGCTGGATCATCGGTTGTCACAGCAGCACATGCACATCTGACACACAGGGTACGGTATTAATGGACCAACTATGCAACCAGAAGTTTAAACACACAGGCTCCTGCTCACCTCCATTACCAACTGATGAGCTCTTGAAACCAACGTAAGGCCATTAGCATGGTTAAAGGTTTCTGAAATATCCTGTCCAAATGTATAACCTGCACCTCGAGGAGAAATTCCCCAGCCACCACGATCATCTGGATCTGACCATAGCAAGTCACACATTGGACCCTATAAAAGATGCAGATGTTTCAGAAACAGAGTGCAAAAAAAACAAACCAACCCACAAAAAACCTGCACACACATCACCCCTGCAAACTTGTGGCAGCATCTCTTTTCGACTTGAAAAAATAAAAAAGCAGCTTATCAACTACAACAGCTAGCACAGTCATCACCTGAAACACTACCAAGAAGGTAACATGAACATTTTCACAGGAGTAGTTGTCACCTCTGAGATCAGTAAGTCGTATCTGTTGAGATTCTAGGCACACTAAAATAAGTTTCTTTAGGCAAGAACACACCCCTTACTTCTCCTTCAGAAAACAAGAACAGGAAGACAGCCACTTGCATATTGCTAAGTTGTTTTGAATTTAATTTTCGGCCTACGTAATCAAAATACCCAATATATGCTGAATCATGAATCCCAGAAATATAGAAAAAATATTTTTCAGTACCTCATGGGGAACTTCCTGCAAGCGATCAAGTGCTCTGATGTGATCCAGTGTATCTATCGATGGAGAGAGGCCACCATGTAGACAGAAAATCTGGAAGAGTTAGATATATGAAGTTCATCTCATTAATTTATATTCATTATATCAGTGCAATTATAATTGTTCACTATAAATTATTATATAATCTGCAAGAGATTCCTTCAAAGCTGAGAGCTGATAGAATACAGTGCCAATAGCTCCCTTTACAGCTAGTAACGTTTAACTTTGTCAAATACCAACATACCTGGCCATCCACCAAGGCAGTTAGAGGCAGGTAATCAAAAAGGTCTGTAAAGTATTTCCAAACATTTGCGTTTCCATATTTTCTTAAACATTCATCATAGAAACCATATACTTGTGTGATTTGCCTGCTTTCATGGTTCCCTCGAAGAATTGTGATACGTTCACGGTAACGGACCTAAACAGAACAGTTTCATTTAGAGGCATCAAAATACACGTCTTCCCAAAAAAAACAGGATTTGCACCCCTCACTCCCTGTCATATGTCAGTAAAACAATAAAAAACAAACCCTTTTTAAGATGAAAATTCAATTATAACCTTCGAGAAAATAAGAGATAATTCATTCAAATCTTCAACTGCCAAATACTTTTGAGATTAATTAAAAATTTTAATCATTGTTTCTAGTGGACTTAACTATCTCTCTATATTAAGCTGAGCCCTCCAAGCAAATTCTTAGAGATCGCTACTTAGGCAAATAACAAATAAACATAGCACTTATTTTAGAAAAAGTTCAGGCTTGCACCTAAACATTAATTTAAGTATCTTAGAAAACTAAGACAGCCAACACTTCAGTTTTTGTACCTATAATACCAGTGTAGGGCAAATCATAATAGGTATTAAGTGTAGTCAGGATAGTAATTATATCTGTTTTATACTGAATCGTAGAGCTGAGAAGTTACCTTGAGAGCTACAAGCAATGTGACTGTTTCGACTGAATAATAGCCTCTGTCAACATAGTCCCCCATAAACAAATAGTTTGTGTCTGGTGATTTGCCTCCAATTCTGAAAAGTTCCATGAGGTCGTGAAATTGTCCGTGGACATCTCCACAGACTGTGACTGGACATCGCACCTCCTGTACATTAGATTCCTTTGTCAAAATTTCTTTAGCCTATAAAACAAAAGAAACACATAAATTGTGAATTTGTTTATGAACAGTCATTTTATTCAAAGTACACTCTACCACTTCCAGTTCTCTGCTACTCTTTATGAACTCTTGTCCCTTCTTTGCCTGAAGCGCTTCAGATAAGAGTTTATCTTTACTTAAAATGAAGATTTTACTTTATGCAACCATGTATTACTAATAGAAATTTGCGTTTTTTCCACTCTTTGTGGAGAGTATTTCAGAATTAATTTCCAGCACTTAAGTCTGAAGAAAAACTTCAGACTTTCTACAAAAACGGTTCCGTGAAGCATAAAACAATGATCATCACTGCTGGAACTAAAGAAGTTTGTAAGTATTTGGAAAAATTAAATCTAAAAATCATGTCAATGTCTTATCTCCAAACGCCTGAACTCAGGCGTGGCCATAACCGAGACTCTCCCTGGGTCAGCAGAATCACATCAGCCGGCAAAAGCTCTCGGGGAGTTCTACACCTCTGAACTCTCACTTCAAAAGAGTGTTTGCCACCCATCTGGACCTACATCTTTCAATGCAAAGGCAGGGAGTCCGACAGGAAGCAGAAGTGAGAACGTAACTAACACCCAGTGGTACCAGCAACAGCAGAGCAGGTGCATTACCTGCACAAGCTTTTTGAACAAGTTTTGTGTCTTAAGTACACAAAAGTAACACCGAGTTATGTCTTTATAAACCAAAATAGGGAAATGTCTTTGTCATCATTTTCCCCACAAGATTGTGTACATAAATTTGCAGACAAAGGCAATTTGTAAGAAGCACAAGATAAATGCAGCATCAGAAAGGTAATTTTGAAATAACACAATTCCCTAATCATACCATCACACTGGCAGTTGTTACAGTTTGTTCTCCGAGCAGTCGCCAAACACATGCCATAATTTTCAAGAGGGTATTAGAAATATAAATAGTAACAAATTCACAAGTTACCATCTACAAAGATTTCCATGCCTTTCAACCACCAACGTTCCTATTCAAAAAGGATCCCTATTTTACCTCATTACAGGAATGGCAAGAGAAAATATAAAAACTATATTCTGTTTTATAACCCAAGGTGTCTACAAGACTTGCAGAAACAGCACCAAATGCCACCTATGCACAGGTCACACTGAATCCAAAATAATCTGAAGCACACACCAGTATGAGAGACAGATGGAAGAGCAACACCACATTCAATTTAGGGTCACTTTTCTTAACTTCCTCAAATCTGACAACTTAAGCAACATACTCCTTTTTGGAAGGTTTCTAAGCAAAGAAGTATTTTGAGACACTAGAAAAAAATTCTTCATAATCTGAAAAGCACCGGTTTTAAAAGGTTAGGAAAGATGTGTCTGAAGTGAAAATCTAAACAGGATATTAAATACTGGGTGTTGACACGAGCCAAGCTATTCAGAGACATGTTGCTGTGTCCAAGTTTCCACCCTATTCACGAAGCCACAAGCTGCACAGTGATGGACGCTCCCACCCCAAAAAGTGGTCCCACTGTTCACGCACGTTGCCCAGGCTAACCACCACCCTCACCACTTCAAACAAGAGAAGTGCCAGCAACACAGTTTCATGATGGAGATTTGTGAAATTCAACATTTCATTCAACTCTAAAGAAATGCAAAAATGCAGTCGTGGTGAAGTGCCCTGCACAACACAGAGCTTTAGATATTACAGGATGAGCAACAGAGTTAAATCACTCTGCAGACATATTTGCATCAAAAGTCAATCTCATATGACAGTTTCCACTCATGCCGTGCCTAGTACTAAAGATAGGTCATTGCTGGCTTGTGGTAGGTGCTAAAAGTGTAGATTTATTTTAAGATAGCCTGACTTAAGTTCATTTTAATGCAGTGACACTCACCGGATGTTTTGAAGGTGTTTTAACAGGCTTAGCCTCTTCTAATATACTTACATTCAGAAGTATTAGCCACATTAATTCTCCCTTTGACAGAGATGTTATGTTGCAGGTGCTTATAGCATTTCAATTTAAAAACCCTACTCTTCAGTTAGAATGCTTTCTACTGCCGTATTTTCTCAACACACTCCAAGCACTGCACAAAGAATGCAGCATTCAATTTTTCATCAAAGGGATGCAACGTTTCTGCTGACTGAGATTAAAATGGCATAGTTCTCAGCAACCAAGTTGTTGCTTCCTCAGTTTTTGAAATATTAAATCACTCAGATATGCATATGACCAAACACGCAGATAAACCAGACAGCTACTCTGGCTGGAAAAAAGACTGTTCCAGGTCAACTTGCAAAACAGCAGTCTCTATTTAAATCCTTGCAGTGGAGAAATGCTGGTGCAGGGATTTCAGTGTTCCCATGTTCTGAAACAAGTTTCATGAAATACTATGTTACGAACTGCTCAGTCCATTTACAGTTTTATCATGTCCCATAGCGTTAACAGCGGCATATACTGAAGCGCTTAAGCAGTGTAATTGCCTCTACAAAAGAGCTTCAGCAGAGCTCAAAGTGGAAAAAATAATACCCTGAAAACAAACCACCAAGTGGGCCATAAACCATACCCCAAATTTCCACATTAAACCAATCCCTATAAAAGGGTAAAGCAAAAAATGGTGTAATATTCTGTAACATACATAACAAAACCCCAAGTTGGTAAGACAACAGTGGATGTAATATTTCCATTGCACAATCCAAGATTCACAGAGGTAAGCCATCGCTAACACTAGTGAAGTATCTGTGACCCTGGCTTTGTACTGGACCACACACCGTCCTGTGCAACCTCACCTGGTCCCACTCCCTCTTTATCGATCCTGTCCCCGAGATCCACGATGACGGTATTTGTTCAGCCACATCACGCAGCTCCCTCCCTGTCCATCCCCATCCATCCTCCCCCCAGTAAACTGGGCTTCCCACCAGCAGCTCTCCTACCCTTCCCTCATTCCCTCATGGAGAGGAACCAGAGCATTCTTCAGCAGCCTGCAGTAGAAGACAGGGCACTCCCTGATCAAACTATCCCATGAAGAACTAGGGGAGAGACACACACACACCTCATTTCTTGTATTTCAAAAACCCAGTGACCTATTGCCACGAAGGATACTAATGCAACACTTAGCAGTATTGGGACATCGACATTTTGAAACATCCAGGTTTTGTTGCCTATCACCAGGATAAACATTTATGCAATTCTGAAAGAGATTTTTCTTGAACATTTACCACTGCTTTTATTTCTCGGTCTTTTTTTCAGTTCTTAAAAACTCTTAGTATTAAGAAAGCCCTGAACTTTTGTATGCCTTCAACCCTTGTAAGTACCCCACAGCACAGGAAGTTTAACTTGTGGTATTTAAAATAAGATTAATTAACTTAAGCAAAAACTTGCTATCAACAGCCTACTACATTACAGTTATAAAACCCCGCCTCCGAATCAGCTTAACTATTTCAGCATTACACACCTTGATTAAAATCAAGGGCAAACAGATAAAGGCTGGAAAGAACCAAATACTTCAAACTGATAAAAGCGAATTTTACAGCCAAGCACTAATAAAGTCTCATGCAGAAAAAACCCCATGTAGCTATAAGACACAGCCGCACAAGAAGAACTGAGTGAAATGCTGTCATAATCAACAATTGCTGAGGTGGAAAGTCATGTATTTTACTCAGAGCAATCTCAGTAACAATTAAACAATAAGCACGTATCAAATACACTTCAGCTTAGTCACAGTGACTGGAATTTGTTCCTACTTGGTATCTGAAGTATTGGCTTACTCAGCCATTTTGTTGGAAAGAGGCAACAAGCCCTAAACAGCCGAAAGACAACAGGAATAAATCCAGTACTGGTTTAAACACACAAGAAACCAACATACTTTCACCTTACTGTAAAGCAATTAGCACTGCATAAATACAACCTAGTATTTCAGAATTAAAACATTCCTGGACTGCTGCACATCATCTCAATGGCCAGATGAACAGTTAAGCACTGTTTTGTTGCCTTTGTTTACAAAGCACATCTTCTACACAAAACACTGTTCTTAAAATACAAAGATTAGCTGCATTGTTTTAAGACAATGCAAGATCCGAGTGTAAACTCTAAACTCCGCATTTTATAATATAGTCAGGATAAGAATTAAAATCTGTATGACCATTAAAGCTACTACCATATGATTTTCAGATCTTCACTATTTTATTTAATGAGATGCAGGGTTGTATGTATACAGAAGTTTCTCCTATTTCCCCTGTTCCCTGCAAGTATTTTAATCCTATAAGCCACAGATGAATGCTCAGAGTCTAGTGCCATAAAGGCTATAGTCCATCCTTCTCTTTCTCAACTCACTCTATGCTGCGGACAAGCAAGTTTCCCTCATGAGTAGAGTACATCATCAACCTTGACTCACAGAATTCAAGTGGTCCATTTCTGAAAAATCTTCTGAATTCATCTGTGCTTAAATTCCTTCCCAATTACTCCTACCCCTTCTTAGATCCATACATTCTAGCAGGAGCTCGGATAACTCAAACCAAGTATCTACCCTGAAAACCTCATCAGCACATCCGAAGGAAAAAAAAAAGCAAAGAAGCATTAAACATTACCGTGGCTTTGTAAAAATTGTAGAACAATGCTTGAAAATGCTGCACAGCGGTGATCCAATGCTGTAAGGCACTTATCAAGAGATTACCACTAACTCAGTAAATACAATCATTATTTTAATTAGACAACACAGATCCGAAGTCATGGTTGCAGATGGTAATGTGTCATTCTTGGCAGACCAGAATTCACACCTGCAACCCACCATGCTGTCTAGTAAAGTGTGTCTTGAGAAGCATCCACTGTAACCAAGAAAAAAAAAAAAAAAAAAAAAAAAAAAAAAGGTATTTGTAGTTACCAAAAAGATATTTTGATGAGATCGAAGACTTTAACCACACCCATAATTTCCTGTCATCAGGATGCACAGGATGTGACTAAAGGCACAATGATCAGCTAATTGGGATGAATACTGGTTTTAGCTGGCCAAAGATCGTGGCCTGGAAGAGATCCCCGTTCCAAGCAAAGTCATC